AAAGAAAGAAAGAAAGAAAGAAAGAAAGAAAGAAAGAAAGAAAGAAATGACAGACAGACAGAAGGACAGACAGAAAGACAGACAGAAAGACAGAAAGAAAAAGAAAGAGAGAAAGAAAAAGAACAAAAAAGAAATAAAAAGAAAAGAGGAAAGAATGAAAGAAAGAAAAAGAAAGAAGAAAAAAGAAAGACAGAAAGAAAGAGAAAGAAGAGACAGAAAGAAAGAAAAAAGAAAGAAAGAAAGAAAGAAAGAAAGAAAGAAAGAGGGAGAAAGGAGGAAAAAGGGAAAAAGAAAGAAAGAATAAAAGAAAGAGAGAAAGAGAAAGAACAAAAAAGAAAAAGAAAAAGAAAGGAGGAAAGAATGAAAGAAAGAAGAAGAAAGAAAGAAAAAGAAAGAAGAAAGAAAGAAAAAAACAGAGCCACCATTTCTTTTGGCTGATTCCCATCACAGCCTCACCTTTTCCCAACGTTTATCACCTGCAGTACATTTTGCACGGAGCAACAACAGGAGGCTCGAGCGAGTGAGCCCGACTGCCTTTCCAGCTCACCTGTTGGCTGAAGGTGACATTCCTCCGCCGTGTGCTTTCTGGAAGGTTCCCAGTGATGATATCCGGAATTGCCAAAGTCTGCGGCCGTTTCAGGATCCCCGACGAATGGGGCTTTATCATGTCCAAGGACCCCACTCTGTGTCCTTCCCTGCCATTTTCTCTGCTCTCCAACGCCCCGTTTTCGGGACAATGTAACCCCTCTGGAGCTCGGGGCAGGCTGACGCTGACACCGACACTCTGCCCTGGTAAGCTTCCCGGGATGGACAGGTAGCCGTCGGTTCCGCTGGTGAAGCAGTCGATGAGGACGCTGTCGATATTCGAGGTGCCGAAGGAGGAGGCGAAATCATTGAGCCCCGTCAACGAGTTATCCCAGCTGATCAGGCTCCCGTATTTCGGGGTCAGGGGGCTGAGTGGAGACATGGGGCTGGTAAAGTTGGCATACATACGGGCCGGGTTTTGGGACCCCGCAGGGCTATCCGGGGGACACTCCTCGAAAAGCAATGGGGGAGAAGGCGGGAGGGTCAGATTTGGGCTCTTCATAATGTTCTTCTCCTTGACGAAAGACGGCAAGGAGCGTTCGGGAATGCTGACCAACGTCAAGACGGTGGCAAGCGTCAGGGTGATGGAAGTGAAGATGTAGATGACGCGCAGCTGTCCCCCCACGGCCTTCCCGAAGGCGGTGCCGTTCCAGTGAATTCCACCCACGACGTAGCCAAAGCCGCCACCGAGTCCTGCGAGGAAGGAACAAAAACCTGGGTCAGTTTAACTTCTGGAAAGTCTCCCTCCACATCCTTAGAGAGAAGCAGCTCCTTTTTCACAGGAAAGGAAAAAGAAGCGGCTGCTTTGAAGAGTTCCCAATGAAGGGATGCAGCTACTTTAAAGAGTTCAAAGCCAATGGATGCAGCCAGTTGAAAGAGTTCAAAGCCAATGGATGCAACCACTTTAAAGAGTTCAAAAACACTAGGATGCAGCTGTTTTAAAGAGTCGCAAGCAGGTGGATGCAGCTACTTTAAAGAGTTGTAAACAGATGGATGCGGCTACTTTAAAGAGTTCAAAAGCAGTTGGACGCAGCCATTTTAAAAAGTTGCAAATGGCTGGGTGCAGTTATCTTAAAGTGGTCCAAACAGATGGGTGCAGCTACTTTGAAACTCAGTAAAACAAATGGAAGCAGCTACTTTAAAGAGTTGCAAACAGATGGTTGCAGCTACTTTAAAGAGCTGCAAATAGGTGCCTGGTGCTTTTGCCTTAAATCTAAGCAAGGCATGGCTGTGGTTGTTGTTTTTGTTGTTATTGGAGCTGCTGGACTACAATTCCTGCTCAAAAGAATTTGCACAAGACTCTGGCGGAGAGAATCCCAGCCTGGGTTTTGCTTCGCTTGGCTTTATGGCTGTTGGGAACACCCCCTAACCATGACTCAACCACCAGGCGTTGTGGGGAAAACTGACCAGCTAAAAGAGCGTGAATGTTGACCGCCCGGTCTTGATCCGACGGGCGGCAGACGTCAATCATGTAAGCGTGGCTGGGGTTGTCGGCCGAGTCGGCACAGAAGTCCATCAAGATGACACCGCAGATAGTCAGCGCGATGCCCCATTCGTGGTTGTTGCCCGTGTCTGAGATGGCAGCGCCGATATCCTGGCCGTTCAGCATCAGGGAGAGTCCCACCAACGCCCCTGTGGAGTAGGCAGAAACGTCCGCCGGAAGAACAGTAGGTCCACGCAAGCAACGGGCAATAATACTCGCATCCCCACAACCGTGTGTTTCTTCAAAACCCCGAAACCTCCTTACAAGTAGTCCCAGACTTACGACAATTCACTTAGCGACCATTCAAAAGGTCCAAACCGGCTGAATCCCACCCCCGCCAACTCGTCGCGTTTCTCCAAACCAGCTAAAACAATAAGCTAAACGCATCTCCCCGCAAGCAGAAAGGCAGCGTGTCAGCATTTTAACCCAGGCTTTCTTGGAGGGCTAGCTCTCTCAGTGCGGGGAGACACCCCCCCACACACACTCCCACAATTACCGATCGCCAGAACAAGGATGAAAGGTCTCCGCCGGCCCATCGGGGAGGTGCACCGATCGCTCCAAGCTCCCAGTAAGGGCTGCAGCAGGAAACCTGGAGTAGGGGAGAAAACGAAAGAAAATTGCAGCCACGTGACTTGAGTTCCTGCTGGTTCACTCACACCAACCCAGGACAAGCCACTAGTATATAAATAGAGAACAGATCCCACTCCTTTCTAGCACTGAGGATGTTACCCAGTTCGGTAATAAAACGTCATTATCCTCCTCCTTTCTTTTTTCCTCCTCCTCCTCCTCTTCCTCTTCTTCCTCCCTCCTCCATCATTATTCTCCTCCTCCTCCTCCTCCTCTTCCTCTTCTTCCTCCCTCCTCCATCATTATTCTCCTCCTCCTCCTCCTCCTCTTTGCAAACCTCGCTCTCTTCCAGCACTGATGAGGTTACCTCGTTGGGTCACGAAACGTCTGCAAAACCTTCCCCCCACCCCCCAATCAAATGCAGGGAGCGCTCTTCAACCCTAAAGCTGCAAAGACCCTCTTCTGTCAGACAGAAAATCCACCTCACTTCTTACACCAAAGAGAATCAAGAACGGTTCATCTAGAGCTTCTTTCTCACCCTCACCCTCTTTCCCGGGGTGTAATAGCTGGTTCCTTTCTCCCTAACAGCTCTTAAGGCCAGGGCTCTCTTGATAAGAGCCGAGAGAGATGGATCTATGAGTCCTACACCGGAAACGCAGGGCATTTCGGACATTTCAGGACCGCGTCCCCGATTTTAACTCCCTCACCCAGGATTGGGCTGATAAACCACACCATCCCGTACAGCTGATCGGGCAGGCCCATCTGAAGCAGGGCCGGCGTGACGTAAGCGGTCTCCATGGCGTAGCTGAACTCGATCCCGAACAAGATGCACCCGTTGAACAGCAGTTCCAAAAAAGATCTCTCCGGGTGGATCTCGGCGAAGGGGGCCCGGTCCTTAGGACAGGGGGTGTTAGGAGGCGGCGGCGGAGAAGGCCGGATAGATTTCCTCCGCTTTGGATGCCGTTTGAAGTTGTTGGCCCGGTGGCTGATGTGCCGAGGGACGGAGCTGGAATAATGCATGACTTGAGTCCTCCAGAGATCCGGCGAAGAGACGGTAGGGAAGAGCAATTCGCTGGACGGACTGGCGAGGATGGTCGGCGCCGTCATGTTGGGTGTGCTGCAAGGAAGAGACGTGATGAGTTTACTCGTAGGAGATGACCAGGCTGAGCCCAAGAGAAGGAGGAGTCAAACGCCTCATCGGCCTCGAATCCCTTCGTTCCCACAAGCGATCTAAGTCCAGCCCTCCTTGAATTCTTATCTACTGTCAATTCACTTTGAATGTCAGTAGTTTGCATTCTTGTGGAGAGCTTAAGCTTGCAATAAATCTTTATATTGATTTGAACTGCCTGGACTTCCTGGTTTTCCTGCCCTTGACAATACTTTCTCTCTCTCTCTCTCTTTCTTTTTCTCTGTCTTTATCTCTCTGTCTTTCTCTCTCTCTCTTTTTCTCTGTGTTTCTTTCTCTCTCTCTCTCTCTTTCCCTCTCTCTCTCCCTCTCTCCCTCTTTCTCTTTCTCTCTTTTAATATTATTTATTGTTTTATCACAAAGAGTAAAATACAAAACAGAAAAACAAAACAAAAGCGTACATTGATCCTTGACAACAACAAAAATAAGAGAAGAAAAAGTGATCAAATAAATTTCACATTTAGGAACCACCCTGGTTGGTTGCTGGGGTGGGGGGAAAAAATCAATAAAACATTCCATGCTTTTAAAAAAGGGGACTAAAAATAAGAAAAGAGAAACAGAATTTAGTCGTGGATATGAAGAATACGTTTGAAAGCTTACACAGAGATATTTGTCATATTTAATTTCTGTGTCTAGAAAAATCGTTATATAATATGAGCAAAGTTTGACCTGTTTGGAATTTTGTTAATAAAGCTTAAAAAATATTGAATGCCAACCAGCAAATGGAAATATCTCTAGCCATATCTTTCGTCCACTTTGCTAAATGTTGGCTGGCAAAGAAAATATATGTACTATGGTTTCCATCGCTTATCCACTCTTTTTTCTTTTAAAAAAAAAATCCACTTTGCTTCTTCTCAACTGGAAAGCTAAGCGCATCCTTTTCCTGACATGCTAGATTTCTATGCGCGGGGATGGCTATTTTCACAGAGCTGTCTTTTGTTCCTGCCAAGCCTAAAGAGAGACAGCCAAATATTTTGATTTAGGAAGCCGATCGATGGCGATCCAAAAAAAAAAGAGAGAGAGAGAGAGAGACTGCCTGAACTAAAATGACCCCTTAAATCTGGGTAGAGAATGCAGTGATACATAAAACATTTTCTGACTTATTTTCCAAAGCACCTGACAAGAAGCAACGGGTGGAAACTGATCGAGGAGAGAATCAACCTAGAATTAAGGAGGAATTTCCTAACAGGGAGGACAATTAACCCCTGGAACAGCTGGCCACCAGAAGTTGTGGGTCGCTCCGTCACTGCAAGCTTTTAAGAAGAGATCGGACCACCATTTGTGTGAAATGGCATCGGGCTTGAGCAGGGGGTTGGACTAGAAGACCTCCAAGGCCCCTGTTACTCTACACTCCATGGCTTGTTGCCAAGAGATGGGGAAAGCTTCCCTCTGCACAGAAACCTAAAATCAAGAGGACTAGAAACTTGGCGGGGGGGGGGGGGGGAAATCATCCCAGGGGAGCAAACGCAGAGAACATCTCGCTCCTGGCCTTAGGAAGCAATTTTAATCGTTTTGGGGGGTGGGGAGGAGGAGGGATTGAGGGAAGTGTAGGAAAATCATGGCCCCTTTGGAAAGGTGGGGGTCAGAGTATGGGACACCCCCCCCCCCCCGGTTTTCCTTTTTTTCCCCCCCCCCCCCGCTCCCCACCCAGCCAAGAGGACGGGGGAGATGCAGACGGGAGCAAGGATGCTTGGCTCCTGTATCCTCTGCAGGGCCTGGAGGCGAGGAGCTCGGGTACCAATCGGGAAGCCTCACCTGGATCACGAGGCCTAAAAGAGCATCCTTGGGAACGGAATTCCTGCAGAGAGGTCTGGAGTCCTCCAGCAGCTCCCTGGCTAACTTCATCCGCCCCCCCTCCCCATAAGGAAAGCTGTGGGGGGGGGGGTTTCAGGCCGGGAGGTGATGTCACCAGCCTCCGCCCTCCTCTGCTCCCCCCACTACCAGCTCTGCAGGCACCCGCCCACTTCCTCCCCCCTCCACTTAAAGGGACAGGATGGCAGGAAATCCCAGCCTCTCTGCTTTTAGCTGGTGGGTGGAGTTGGAATGTGATCCATGAAATAAATTCTGTGTCTATATAGCTATATCTATATTTCTCTCTCTCTCTCCCTCTCTCTCTCTCTCTGTCTCTCTCTCTCTCTCATATGTCTGTCTCATCTTTTTATTCACTCTATATAATCAGTATCTATCTATCTATCTATCTATCTATCTATCTATCTATCTATCATCTATCTATCTATCTGTCTATCTATCCTCTATCTATATCTCTGTCTGTCTGTCTGTCTATCTATCTATCTATCTATCTATCTATCTATCTATCTATCTATCTATCATCTATCTATCTATCTGTCTTTTTTTCTGTCTATCTATCATCTATCTATCTATCTGTCTATCTATCCTCTATCTATATCTATCTATCTATCTATCTATCTATCTATCTATCTATCTATCTATCTATCTATCTATCTATCTATCTATCTCTGTCTTTTTGTCTGTCTGTCTATCATCTATCTATCTATCTATCTATCTATCTATCTATCTATCTATCTATC